GGTACTGGAAGTGTTGTCAAGAGGTTTGCAGCTCATTTTCACACCATAAAAATGCTTTTCGTTTCAGATAATTACCACTACGAAGTCATAACCGTTTGTTTAGCTTTTTAACTGGTGGAAAAGGATCGAATTCTCGAAGTATTTAAACTGCTGTCCAAGTTCACTCGAGCACTGCTTGTATTCGTCATTGCAACCGCAAGTTCAAAAGTTGTAAATTTCACGCAAGTACCGTTGATGTTTTCGGTTCTCAAAACTTGCCGTTTGAATTTCCCCAAAATTTTATTTCATAAATTGAAAGAAAAAGGATTGCTCTTTCTCTGGAATAGCATCTGCACAACAAAAGCCATGTACCAGGAAGGGTTTTTTGCCGTTGAAAAATGGCAAAATTGATAGACGCGATGAAACTGTTGTAGAGGGTGATTTTGAAAAAAAATTAAAAATTCAGATTGGAATCTTTTGAAATTACAACAAAGTTTTTATACAAGGGAAGGGTCATAAAATCATCTCATATCGCACTAGCCATGGTATTTGATTGCGTTTCTATTCACCACGCGAGGATACGAAGCACATTTTTGGGTGGTTTAAGGGCCTCTCGTAGGTGAAAATTCAGAAAAGTTATTTTTTTGGAAAATATCAATCACAAGAGACTGAATCTTGATTATTCTAAAATAGTTTCATAAGGGCTTTAATATGACAAAGTTTGGGATATTTCGATTTTTCCATCTTGCACACGTATCCGTGGTATTCACAGAAAGTTGCTCTTAAGCTTTAGCGGAAACTTCTGTTTCAGAAAAAAACAACAGTCAGATCCGAGGCAACCAACTTCCACAAAACTCATGCTTATAGGATGCTATAGGATATTGTGTTGAACAGTCCAAGTCGCAGAAAAGGGAACACAAATTTTCATTAACGCACTGGCGAATGTCTATGATAAATCCTCTTGTAAAGTAGATTGCGACCTTTTCAATGCATAGTATTAAACTTTATCGGGCGGTGAAGGCAAGTATGATCGATTGGTTTTCATCAATGTTGGCTTGTGCGATTTGACCCTAATCGTTTCCAATTGTCATTTGTTGTCTTGGTGTTTTGCTAGGATTGAACTCTTCCACGGTTTTATGGAATGATCGTGAGAAATTTACATAGTGGAGGTGATACGGCCTCTTAATTGCAAGTAAACAACACATCTCTGCTTTTAAAGCAAATCAAAAACTTCTTCTATAAAAATTATTGCTGTTGCTAGCGCTGGTAAGTTCCGACGTTAGTTTCTTCGTCATAAAAACGAAATAACTTAAACTTTTCTGTGCAATGTTTTTTGCTCTGTTGCAGATCGGAGTCCCTGTTGGCAGCAAGCAATACTTTCAGAAAGAGTTTGGAGGCGCAAAAGTCATAGGTAATTTAAACGGCCTTTCATTAGGGTGAAGAAGCTAAATCTACATGAAGGATCACCATCCTAACAAAAAACCGCACCTTATTTCATATTATTTCTGTTTGCTGTTGAGAACTCAAATAGTATTCGGGTGAGAATAATCAGAAGTCAACCTCAACTCAAAAGAATGTGAATTGCTGGCCTTTAAACAAAGAATTAGTATGATTATAGAGAGAAACTTAATTCAGTTCGTGGCTTTTAAATGAATTCTATTTTAGAGACGAGGGTCGGGTTCAGCGCCGGAAAGGTGTTAAAAAACTTATGCCACAGAAATTCTACAGCCCCATTTGTGACTGCATGCCACAGAAATTCTACAGCCCTATTTGTGACTGCATGCTGCAGAAATTCTGCTGCCCTATTTGTGACTGCGTGCTGCAGAAATTCTGCAACCCCCTCAAATATTGAAACTGAAGAAATCTTAAGCCACCTGAAATGATGGTATGTTGCAGAAATTCTGAGGCCCTCACAGAATGGTCATACATTGCAGATTGACTGAATATATTCCTTTGCACCCCCAAAATCATAACTTCTTGGATGACTTAAAAAATTATGTGTTATTAAGCCAATCTAAGAATTCTCTAGCAAATGTTCAAAACTATTTGCAAACTAATTAATGGTATTTACACAAAGAATACTTCTACTGTATGTACTGTCTTGCAGCTCCAGAGGCAAGGCCAAGGTACTGCTTTTAGGTTTACCTGGTTTACACAAAATTGTTTGAAACAGTTAAACATTATTTTAAGACAATTTTGTCAAACTAGAATGAACAAGATAATGGTGATGCATTATTCGTGTCCTTGAATTTTGAAGTGTATTATACCGATCTTTTAGAAAATTTCTTGTCAATGGCATAAGTTTGCTGTCCTCAGTGAGCTGGAAAGAACTGCAAACAATACATACTTTTGGCAGCCTTTCCACCCATGGTTGCACTCTTCTGCGGGGTACATGCTGAGGAGACCACTTCCCTAGATATGTCCCTTTCCAATAGTGCACTTCAAAATAGTTATCCTCAATGGAAATGACTTTTCCTATCACTAGCTCCTTTTCAAAGTAGCTAAAATGCAAGGCCACAAAGCAGCCAACTTCCAGAGAGGTAAGAAAATCATCATCCACCATCTCCACTGGTGCTTCCCTTTCTCTGGGATTTCTTTACCGCCAGTGTAAATCTGAAAAGTTTAAATATCAAAAGCATAAATGATACTATTGCATAGCTTCTTCTTACACATGATATTATCAAATACATTCAACATTGCTAGTGTTGATAATACAATCATATATGTACATACAACAAGCAAAGTCCCACAATTGCACGTGTTGTATGCTGAATAATTTTTGGCAGAAATTAATTCAAAATTGCCCCCAAAGGAATTTTAAAAAAAAAAAAATGCCCCAAAACTCAAAAATTAGTCTCAAATGGCCCTTTTCCCATAGCTCTGCGAGCAATATATAATCTTATTCCTGTTCTCATCATGTACTCACTTCTTGGGTAGGCTGGATTTCTCTTTCCTTAAGTTCTAAGAGATCATTTGGGATTTGGGCAGCCAAAGGTGGTGGTGCAGTTCTTCCAGCAGTTTTCAGCGTATCCACTAGCCAAACATAATGATCAGGCACTGCTGCTATTTCTCTCTCAACATTTTCCAGCCAACTTCTCCAATAATCTGATGCTGCTTGAGGCATATTCTGTTGATACTTGTTTAGTATGTCTCTCTTTAATGCCTCCACATCCAATTTGGCCAGAAAGAACTTACAAGATTAGTCTTTCCATGAGGCACATTCTGGTCAATCAAATGCAAAAAGAAAACTAAAATTAGCAAATGAGATAAGTGCTTAGATACTGGCATAACAGAAACATCAGAACTGAAAGTATCAAAGTAGTCAGGTGATTGCATGGTCACAGGCTTTACATCCTCTTATCCAAACAAGTGCAAAAATAATTCCAAAAAAAGATTAGTCTTTCCATGAGGCACATTCTGGTCAATCAAATGCAAAAAGAAAACTAAAATTAGCAAATGAGATAAATGCTTAGATACTGGCATAACAGAAACATCAGAAGAATTTCCTTCATGTACCACACAATTTCACTGGTCATTTTATATTGTTTTGCATACTAAGTACACAGCATTCAAACTGCAAATTTCAATTTTCCTCTTTAATCCAGTTAGATTTCTCAAATTGATTTTTTAGTCAAAAGTTTGAAGCTCTGGACAGACGTTTTGGTCCCAACAACAGTGAAGAGAAGGAAACAATGGAAGGACACAAGAAATGATGTGCTCACCTTGAGGATAACAATTGGCCCTTGCCACTGCTCATGGCTCCAGTTTCTGTAAAGCTTTGTAGCTTTCCCTTCATCGTTTAACTCAAATTTAAAGCACTTTGGAACCATGTGCTTGTGTAGTTCCTCTGCATGATCTGAAATCCATGACTTTATGTCATAGACAATATGCAGCATAAACGGCTTGGGAGTGGAATGCTTCATGCAATCTTCCAGTGCCTTGAGTAATTCTGTATAATGAGGAGAATTAAAGTTGATAAAATTGGAATTACATTGCACTGCTAACACATGCACAGTATAACTTGCAAGTTTCTCTCTATATGCCCTCCTATCTCACACGCTCTCTACTTTTGAAATAAGAGTGTACTGACAGATTGATGCCCCTCTTAAATTCTCATTCCTTTATCAAGGCAAATATAAACGAATACAAATGAGTGGCATCAGGCCCAACGTTTTTTCTATGCAAAAGCACAAACCTACATGTATAGGTAATCGCATGGGGCCGAGTAAAATTAAGGATTAATAACACGCATGTTTTCGGAAGTTGCAGAAATTGCCCGAGTCGTGCAGCGACGAGGGCAATTTCTGCAACTTTAGAAAACACTAGTGATATTAATCCTTAATTTTACGAGCGATTTTCAGCCACTCATTTTCAAGTAATTTTGCCCCTTATATGATAAGTAATGTTATGATATCTCTTGCCATTATTTATTACCTGGAACTGTATAAACATCAAGCTTATCCAAGTGCTTCAAATAAACACCGAAAAAAGCATCAATATCCTCATGAGTATGACCCACTGGGAGAAAGTTTACTCTGATCTGCAGTTAACAAACAAAAACCACAGTTCTTACTACAGCACTTACTCTGTTGATTGATCAACTCTTTGTGTTATTGCTTTGTAAATTGTGATCCAATACAGAACGTCATGAGACCACTTTTGATTTAACATCACAAAAAAAAGTTATTCTTTTATCCTTTTGCCCATCTCAAAACCACAAAGGAAAAGGTTAACTCTGCTAGCAGGGAACCTAGCTTATCACAGCACTTTTAAAAAATAAGATTATCATGAAAGAGTTCAAGAGTCTACTCTGTGCAATGTAGGAAGTTCTAAGCTCCACAAAGCTTCTCAAAAATCCCCTCTTCAACAAGAAGTGCTCGTGGAGCTCACATGAACCGGTTCTTGTTTTCTCTAACACAGTTGTCAAACTGTAGAATGATATAGTACAAGAGTTAGGTCATAGTCTGCAGCCCATCTCACAAGAACATCCAAAAGAACTGTCCTGGTCAGATTAGAGTCATGGGGAAATTGATAATAGTCAAATGAGCCAAATACAAACATAATCATAAACATGGGAACGCTTCGGAATATGCGCATCCATTTGTAGGCTAGAATTCCAACTCACCATAGTCACTTTCTTCTCTGTACAAATGTTTCTTCGTTATGAGACGCACTTGACCCTATTGGCACCACTGCTAGTACACTGGAAGAGAAAGACTAAGGAATCGGGCACGAGATGGCCATGTTGGAACGTGTTCTTTAATGCTTGTTACGGTCAAACTTTGTTGATTTGGGTACTGGCACACTGTGATCACCTTGTCTCTCTCATACTTCCTAAGGTGGTGTCCATCTTTTATAATAATGAGAGTAAGACACATTTGCAATCACATTCAAAGTTGTGATTGGCTTCTGTTATTTCTCACGGACCATTCCATTTAAAATCCATACCCCCCCTATTGAAGGCTTTCCTGTAACACCCCTCCAGAAGAGAAATTTTTTAACCCCCTCCAGAATTTCCTTAAATTACCCCCCTAAAAATTCTATGTAGCTATCAAGCTAAGCAACTGAACCCCCTTCGGAATTTCCTTAAATGACCCCCCTCAGAATTCTATATATACACATTTATATAAATAAATATAAAGTTCTTGATATATATGGACAGAGAATTACTGCACTCATCAGGCAATATCAACGAATGACTGTTAAATTACACGTGTGGTACTCGTAGGGATGCTGCTTGTAACTGCGGTAATTTTAGGGAATTTCTAAGTTACATGCATCTCTTGAGAATTGTGAGTTCCGTTTATCACAGCTGTTACATCGTTTAAACTGTCACTGTTCTTTTCGCAGTTTCCTGTTAGCAGTTATATAAGTTCTTTTCTCTGAATAATAGTTTCTCATTTTAAACTGTTTTGTTTTCTTTGTTGTACACTCACTACACAGCCCAATTTGAAGGAATTCAAAATGGTTATCTCCCTGTCTGTTCTACGAAAAAAACAAACAAACAAAAAAACAAAAAAAAGAATAAATTGTGACGTAATGGGTAATTAGAGCTTCACCATCAGTCTTTTTGTGCATGCAAGGTGACCATGACTAAATGACATAATTTTAGATAAATAAGAGTGTGTGCATGACTGTTACTAATATTAAGTTTATCATCCTCTTCTTCCTTCAATCACTCCCTGATTTGCTACTAATGTAGGAAAAACAGACAAGTCCACTCTTGACCTTAAAATCAGACCAAAAACTGTTTTTTCAGAAAACTGGATTCCTTATTAGCTCTGTAAGCAGGAGTCACATACATGAAGTGTAATTCTGATCCATTTAATCTCCGCTGACCAATGAAACACCAACAAAATGGCAACTTAGGATTTGAGAGAAATTTTGGCGGTGCAGACTAACAAACTCGTAATCTTGAACCCTATTTCATCTCCCATTCGATGTGCTTTACGTGTTCAGGCATTCTATGAGTGTTGAAAAAGCCGTTTACAGTTATTTTGGAGCCATCAATCAGATGAAATATATGGTTCAACCCCTCTTGTTCGGCAAACATATAATATAATATATAGATTTAGCTAAGCATAAAAGTGGAGCCCCCAAGTACGAAATATTAATGATAACATAAAAGATGTGCATTTGCCAAGACTCACCTGAGACACCCCTCCCTTAGTTTTGATAGTCCCCCTACCCTACCCATGCAATCTGAAGGTATTATGTACTGTATAACACAACAGACCTTGTGGTTTATTGCATCCCATGATGCTTAAAGTATTTTCTTGATAGCATACATGACAGAGGGCACGTACGCTCGGTCAGTCACGTGACAACCAAACGAAAAGAGGTTGACCATATTCCATGGGTATGGAGCTCTGCCCCACGAAACGCGCGTGGGAGCCGCGTGCTATCGACCCCTCCTGGAAATATATGGCGACCCCCTCTAGGAAATATGATTTAACCCCCCCAGGAAATATGTAGCGTTAACAACCCCTCCCCCTAAGAAATCCCAAGCCTTCAATATGGGGGATGCGGATATTAAATGGAATGGCCCACCTTTGCCGTGAACACAACTCGAGTCGGGGTTTCAATTCTTTGTTTCCTTGACAACTTTTGACCACGAACCGTTCATTTGTAGTACGTTCGACTCTTCTCGATTATTTCTACATAGAGTGAGTTCACATAATTATTTATATCATCTTCAAAACATGGATCCAAGATTAATCGATCGTCGAAAGGCAGAGTACGGATCAGAGAAATCAGAAAAATGTCGCGTACTTTTCTTGAGACTGCAGTCGGGCAAGCCAGCGATTATCTTTATAAGCCAATGACAAATTCCCAAAATATCCACGTGATCATGCCCGTGATAGGAAACAAAAAAATAACTCGGCGCTCGTTTTTAAATGTACTTTTCATCGGTTGATCGCTCGTGCGTTGAGTTATTTCTTTTCTCGACTGTTTTGCTTAACATAACATCTCTAAAGATGGGTTTTACCGTTGTTCAATGGGAAAACGAGAACATCGTGCGTGGTATGAATGAAAAGCAAGTCGTTGGCGCCGTGGAGATAAAAGAAGGGACAACAGTTCACATATCGACTGGCCGGTCCAAGGGTCGAGCGGCCATTTATAAAGGTATGATTTTGAAAGTTTGCGGTGAGTTCAAATTGCGATATTCGGTACGTGATCAAAACTGATAATCCATTTGGTCACTTGCATGCCACAATTTCTAAGTTTACGCTTCACAAAGAAATAAATCTATCAATAAGCTGAAGGTTTCAGGATTATTTTAGTCACGCTTGACAAGCTTCGAGCCCAGCAAAAAAAAAACAAAAAAAAACAAAAAACAGCTGCTTAGTCTGCAGTGAAGGATAACTTCATTACAATTTATTGTTACAGTTACAGCAAGATTTTAATTAAAAAAATCAATTATTCAACTGTAATTAAGCCCTTCACTCCCAAGGGTGTTAAGTCAAAATTGAGTAGAAATCTTTGAATTTCAATGTGCAGAATCAACAAAAACAAACAGCATAACATGAGAATGCCGCTTGACAGCTTACATTTGAATTTTAGCACACAACAGTTTTATTGTATTGCCAGCATACAACTATATATACACTGTAGTATAGTCTTTGGTGCAATTAAAGTGGAGACTTTTTCATTTCAAATTAATGGGGTTTCCAAGGAATTTTCATGGTCCTTGCATAAATTTATTTCCGAGAACCCCATGAAAACTAACTGGCAATTAACTTTCATGTGCCATGAAAATACCATGGAGAGGCCATAAAAATTCAGGGAAAATTGTTATGGCCAATGAATTTTTTTACATATTCACAGGATACTCATGGGTCATGATTTGCTGCAACCATTAAAACCTAGTGAATTTTAACACCATGAATTTTTTGACAAGATTATATTATCTTAAACATCGTCAATCTTCTATGTTATCTACCAGGGTGAGATCAATGTACACAGTTTTGTATAATAATAAGTTATAAAAGCCACTGACCATAGGACGCGCCGCCTATGGTGGGCCAAGAAAGAAACTAAGAGGAGTTAAACTACAAGGATAAAGCTTAAAGAGAATATATATTTTGATTTGTAATTATATCATACAAAACTTTTAAATGGGTCGTGACGGCTGTTCAGCGGTTCGCATTGCATTTCGACAAAATAGCCCAAACTCTTGGGCTATTTTGTCGAAATGCAATTTTGTCGAAAACAACAATAAATGTTGTTTTTACCCATATCATAACATATATCATGATAAGCGGCTATTTCATCGACTTTATTGTAAGGTTTGACATTCCATTGTATGACTTCACCAGTGTTTTTATCATATACTAATTGTTGATCAAGTGGATTATAAGGTCCCATATATTCATATTGAGGAGTCCATCCACCTTTTGGTAACTTTCCAATCATTTTATGAATGTCAACAGCACCACCTTTATAAAGTGGATTAGTTGGATCATAAACACCTTGTGGTGAATACATTTCCATTGGAGACCATTGTGAATAATCAATGTTACCACCACTTATCTTTTTACTCAAATCATTTGTGAAGCTGTCAAGAGCTTGATCGAGACATTTATTTGCTGTTTGTTTTATTTTATTCTTTGCATAATCTGATTTGATAGCTTTTGCAGCACCTTGTCGAGCAAGATAAGCTCCACTGTTGGCTAATCCTTTGAGAACCATTTCATGAATTGAATGACTGTTTCCTACATCAAACAATTCCCCACCTGATTTATTTTTAACGAATTTAGTTTTGGTTACACCACATTCAGCACAAGTGTACTTTAACGCCAATCTACCATTTTTAGCTGGTTCATATCTTTCACTTCCTGGAACACATTCTGTAACTTTTTTCTGCTTTACACAATAAGATCTCATCTATAAATATGTTATATTATGGATGTAACTTATTTATTTTTAATGAATTTAGTTTTGGTTATACCACATTCAGCACATTTGCACTTTAAAATCATTCTGCCATTTTTAGCTGTTTCATATCTTTCACTTCCTGGGACACATTCTGTTTGTTTCTTCTGCTTAACAGAAGAAGTCTTCATATATCACTGGGCGAAAAATCAGATTTGACGTCAGACTAATGCAGTCCAAATGTGGTTCAAATGTGATGTTTGTCATATTTGTCAGTATTTGACTTAAGACAAATATGACATTTGTCCTAAAGATAAATAGGATAATTGTACATTTGCTTTTGAGTGTAAATATGGACAAATGTGGTGTAAATCTGGGTTAAATATCATGATTTGTCCTGCTCTAAACAAGGACAAATGCGTTAAAGATGACATTTGTAAGAACAAATTCAGGACAAATGTGGAGCAAATATCATCTTTGTCATGAAATAATCCAAAATTCTGTTCGCCTCCAATGATCCTGTTGTCAATTTACACAAAATTGCTTTTTCCACATGTTATTTCAGTATTAGAGCTGCAAGTACCCAATAATACACTGCATTTAATACAATATCAGAAATTTCATCGTTTCAGTGGCAGTTTAAAATGGAATCGCATTTACTTTGATTAATGCAATCCTCTCATGTCCAATCATCTCACACCCACAGTCCTGACTAAAATC